GATTGGTTGTTGGCTTTTAAAATAATTATAAATTATAAAGGTTTCACATAGGTACCATCTTTTTTTTTATTATATACAATGCAATAAAAGAACAAAAACAAAATCAAGTTACTTTTTTATTTGACTATTTATCATTCAAAAATGTACATTTCAATGCACAAGTATATTTGTGTACCTTTTACTTATTAATGAATCAGAAACACAAATCCAGTAAAACAAATATGAGATGATTCATTTATAAAATGTGAGGTATATAATGAAATTAAAAGAATAAAATGTTTATTATATGTATATAATTTTTTATTTCACATGCAAAAGATGCATTAGCGAAGGTATCTCAATAATTTAATGTATAAAAAATAAGAGAATATGAGAAAAAAAAAATCTGAAATATATGATAAGTTTATAAATCCATAATATTTTATGTGTGTACTTGCACTTGTTTGGAATTTATTGATATAAGTAGATTTTGTTAAGTTTTTAAATATGATAATATTTATTTTTATATTAATATACTAAATTAAGATTTTAATTTTTATTAAACATAATAATTAATTTATAAAAAAATATAAAATTTTTAAATAGCATTTTTTTATATTTTATTTATTTTGAATGCATTTTTTACTTACTATGATATATCATTTTATATTGTAGATCTATGGTTTGTAGGATTACAATGCCTACTTTATGCCGATCATGATATTAATAATAGTATTGAATCATATTATGGTAGATCAAATAAATGGTTGAATGATTTAATAAAAAAAATTGAAAGAAAGAAGAATGAATTGATTGATGTGGCATCTTGTGATTTATTTTGTCACCATTTACATTTACATGGATTAGAATAATAATAATAAATTATATCCATTAATACCATAGAAAAAAATAATTGATCAAGTATTTGAAAAGCTTTGAATATTTTTAAAGAAGACTTTTTGGAGCCGTCTTCTACACATACTTTTTGGTAGGTGAAGTCTTAAGGTTACAAAGATCCTAAACCTCGGTGTGTTATTCCAGAGCCTTTTCAAGATGATGCATATTATTTTGTAAGCATGCAATGAAAGGCAACTTAAGCAAGCACCAAAATGTAATCTTGCTTGATTTTTAAATAGATTGTCATGCAACTACAGGGTAAAAATTATGTAGAACATATTTTGGTAGCAAAGAAGGAGATTTAGGAGCTATGGTGTTATCTTCTACTTTAGGTAATATAAGTGGTTTTAAAAATTCTTTCTCATGAAGAAAAAAAATAAAATAAAACTTAATTGTTGATTGTTAAGAAATAAAAAATGAAGTTGACATAGAAGTGCGTAGTAAATCAATTATAGAGTTAAAAAAAAAAATTAAGAAAAAGACAAAAGAGGCATGTAATAATAATGATATAAAAGTAATAGATAGTAGAGATTATTTTTTTATTACTAAATTTAAAACACTTTCAAAAAGAAATAGTAGTAAAGCAAGTAGATTACAAAAAAGAAGTCATATTCTTATTAACTATCTTATGATGGTTTTGGAACCTATGATAGATATTCAAAGTATTTCTATAATAATAAAAAATAATATGTAAAGAATTGTATGAGATTAAAATATCGAGTACTTCTTCTAAATGATAAAAACATACTATTTAAAAAGAATAATACATATTTTTAATTTTAATATAAATATTAAAATAATTTAATATTATATAATATAAAATATTTATTCTTGTGTTTTTTTTATAATTTAGGATTGAATATAATATTTAATAAATAAAAATCCTTCTATTTTAATACAGATATCTTCATGATATTTTCATATTTTGAAAATGAAATTTGTATTAAAAAATAAGTATAGTACAAATTCTGTTTACACAACAAAGTTTATGGTTTCAACATTATAAAATTAGATATATCACATAATATTATAAATTAAATAATAAAATAAAATAATAATTAATCTTTTGAGGTGATTTATCTTTTTTAATATATATATCAAATATTTAAGTCTTAAATTACAATAAGGTACTATAAGATTTTATATTAATCAATCTTTTTTATATATTCTTTAAAAATCTTTAGTATACAAAATATATTTATGTAACTAGTTTTTCATTTAAAAATTATAAAAAAATAGATTATTTAACTTATGTGATTTTAAATATCCTCACAAATTGCTCTTTACAATGCTATTTTTTGAAATCCTACATTGAAAAATCATATTCACAAAGTAAACTTATTCAAAAGAGTTATTAGTATTATTATTATTATTATTATTTGGATATCTTTTAAAATAAATTATTGATACATATATTATAATAAAAATAATAAATATTAGAAATTAATAGTTTTTATCAATAAAAAATAAGATTATAAATTTTTAATAAGTAAAATTTATACAAATTTATTATTATTATTAAATCTAACTAGAATCAAGACTAGATCTAATTTTAGAAAAACATGGCCTTGGTAGCAATAGTAGCCTTGTCCATAAAGAACATGCAAGTTATAGCTCAACTAATGCTTCCTTCTTCTCTCCTTCCCCCTTCTCTCTATGAAAGATGTGTAGTGGGAGGTCTAAGCTCAACTCTTCTATTCCAAGCTTTATATTTTATAGGCACAAAAATTTCTATCCAACTAATAATAATATGTCTTCAAAATATTGGAATATAATATATTTTTATTTTTTAAAAAAGATCCATGTGAAATGAAAAAATTGTTTGCTTGTTTTGTTTTGTTTTGTTTTTTTAAATTGTTCTTTGAGAGTAGGTTTTAGACACTTATAAAAAAAAACAATTCTAAAAAATAACTAGATATATATCATCTATATGGATGATAATAATTTAAATTTGTTCTAGCCAAGTATCTTTTTTGACCTAATTCTTTGTACCAACTAAATGTAAATTTTATGTATAAATATTAATTTTTAAATTTTATATCAGTGCAAATAAGTATGTACCATTTGTAAGTACAATTAGAATAGAGGTCTAATTATAATCAATTTTATTTAATGCCACTTTTGCTAAGATTATTTTTATTTATTATTTACAATGGTTTGTTCTTATTTAATGTAATAATGATATTTACAATATAAAATATGAATATTCAAAGAATGTTATTTGATTCTAAAACATTTTTTTCAAAGTCTTTTGTGGGTGAAATAAGAAATTAAATTGGTAATATTTAAATTTTCTTACAAAAATATAATATATTTATTTATTGAGTGAATACCATTTTATATCAATAATATTCATTAATACCATATATTATTTTTAATTCAATTCCTTTTTTGTTTCATAATGGAAGATGTGAAATTTCAATGTTAATTTTTTACAAAATAATGACAATGAAATAAAATTAAAAGCTATAAAAACCAAAGAACTAACTTTAAAAAATATTCTTTATATTATTATTAATTTGGGTTTATCTTAATTTTTTTTCAAAGATGTAATATTTTTTTAACTAATATATATATATATATATATATATATATATATATTTGTGCTTTTCTATTTAAATATTTCAAAATAATATTCATATTATAAAACTAAAAACACTAATCAAGAACTTAAGGTTGTAAGGGATCTGGAATTAAAGCAATGAAAAAATGTATTAGAAAAAATTGTATATTGATTTAAAAATTAAATGAGAAATGAATCATTAGAAGAAAACTTCCTATCTCTATCTATAATTAAAAACTGTGTGCTTATGAGTTCTTTTTGTAACAGTTTATGTTAGTATCAACTTACTTACCTCAACAATCTATCTCTAAATAATTTCAATGTTACATCTCAATATTTAATTAAAAGATTCTATATAGATGGTTATATTTTAGTATTTATTTGTAGATACTTCAAAATTAAATGATTAACATTTTTACTACTGCTGCATAGAAAATTTAACAAGAGAAGAAGCTAAACAACTTATCGTAGATACATTTATCGTTTTAAATTTAAGCCAATCAAATTATATGTATGTATATATATTGGTAAAATATGCATTTAAAGAATTTTACACAATGACTTCTTGTATGCAGTTTGTGAGTTAAAAAAGAATCAGTTAAAAGAATCATATTTATAGATTTGTTTCAGTGAATGAATACAAATTAAAATGAAATAAATCTTATATAAATTAATTTTTTTAGAGATGTAGTACCAGAAATTGTAAAGCAATTAGAAAAATATTTCAGGCTTAAGAGAGTTATTTCTTTTGGGAAATATTATTACATGATTTATAAGTATACATTAGCAAACATGCCAATTTTAAGTTTATTGACTTAGCAGTTGGCTAACTGCCAATATGAATGTGTAAGAATTTTCATCACACATGTAGTCATGTTGTTATAATTTAATCAAATGTTGTTTAAATCTGTGTGTCAAAGTGGTGATTGAAAAGTTAATGTATGCATGCATGATAAATTTCTAAGTGTCTACCTATTAGGCATTTAATATGTACAAAGGATATAATAATAAATGAAAATGCCACCAAATTTGGTGGCGTTTTGGAGCCCCTAATAACAACCACAACTCAGAAAATTACAAAAGATAACCATAGTCAAGTTGACAATTTATTTTTTTATTTCTTCTATTGTTGGTGTTGAAAATTCATAAAATAAAGTGAATAACAATGGTGTGGGACTTAGCAACAGGGGCTCCAAAATGGCATTTCATTTTCATTCAATGCAAAAATTGCAGGGCTGAAGTCCCATCCATATGACCAAGCTAGCCAACCCACACTAGAATTTCACCCACACTAAATCTCTAAGCTCACACATCCCATCACTTCCCACATATTCAGTGTGCCGTTCTTCAACCGGCCACGCCGGTCAAACAGAGACCGGCCATTGAACCAACCAAGGGGTGCAGCCCAATCAGCACGTCCAAAAAAAAGAATCATACGTGTCCTCGCGGGAACTACGTGGCAGATTCCCGCCATGAAGGGCCCAGTCCAACTGGCGAAGGGTAATTACTCGCGCATCTCGCACTTGGGTTGGCGGCCACTGTCACACGACTGAGGTCGAGTTTTAGCATAGTGGGAATCTATGCTGGAGAATCGAGAACAGCGTCTGAATCGAACCTTATGAGATATATGCTGACCCGCGTCCATGTCGCTCAATGGGCGTGGATGCCACTAACCTAAGCTTTGAGGTCTGACTTGGCTAAGCAAACTGGGGGCTCTGATTGTCTTCTGCTGCATTCGCAGCACTCTATCTTTCCATTTCAAGTGCGAGTCATCACGGTTCATTGCGATTCGGGGCTTCATGTATGTTGCCAGGGTGACTTCCACTGCTTTCGTACCCTTGTTTTTTGGTGCTGAACGGTGGGGTATCAAAGGTGGAGGAAGAGGAGGAGGAGGAAGAAGGTATATTTCACGATCGGGTTGTGTTTCATAGCATGGTGTTAGTTTTGTATGAGTTTTGGCTTTGTGGGCATTGAGGGGTTTATCATCTTCTGATGTCGGTAAGTTTGGATTATCGGAGCTTATTGTGTGTGTTTGGTGATCGGGAGATGTTTCAAGAGTTGGATCGTGCGGGTTAGGTCTCATGTGTGTTGGTTTGGTTATTGCTTTTTTTTGGGTTGGCTTGCTTCTTATTGCGAAACGATGGTGCTCTAGCTTTCGGTTGATGTGTTAGGGTGTGCATAGAAGGTGCAGAATTGTGGTAGTCTATTTCTTTTTTTCTATTTTTGTGTTTCTCTGGCCGTGGGTTGAAGATCGGATGACATTGTCTCTGCAGTTATTCGATCTCTGAAAGCTGTGCCTCGATTTTAGTCACCATATTGTGAGAACTCACAGTTGCATTCTGTCGCGTTTGTTGGCGAACTCATCATTCGCGATTGTAGTTGAGAATATGCCGGGAATTATGGTTATGAAGATTAAAGAAAGCATAATTGCTTTAGGTGTCATAAGTGATGCGTCGTAGTGACCTGTTGGTTTTTGATTTTATATTCTAACTTACATCAGATTTTGTCACGTCTCTCTTCACTTCTTCCTGACTGGAATACTCGAGTTTCCGTCTTCAGGTTTTTAGTCTGGGGATTGTGACCATGTTCTTTGTGGCATTTTGTGTCGTCCGTGGACTTTTTGAAGGGTCGGGTACGTGGATCATGAATTTTGCAATCTCAATATTATAATTTTTGCCGCAATGCTTGAATATTGTTGCGTATATATCAGTCAGATTCCGACTCCACTGCATTGAGTATGTACCCTCTTGTAGTCGAAGGTCCTTGCATGGTTCAGTGTCATTTGAGAGTCATCTGAGTTGTCTGGCAACATTTTATAGTGGCCATTATTATTATCCTGTGGTCTTCACTTCCGAACCGGGCTGTGTTTTGTATTACAGGAAACCTGAAACCTTGCAGCATCATATAACAGTGGCTTGGATCTCGTCATGGCTTCAGCTATGGCTGGCCTGGTAACACTGCCTTCCTTGCAGGGCATCACGGTGGAATTGTCTCCCTCTCTAAATTCGTCTAGGATCTCCAGGCGACGCATTTCGTGCTCTCTTGAGTCCACTTCCATATCATGCTTTGGAAGGAACCCAATTATTTCAGGTACTTCCTCTTCTGTAGCGTTTCAAGGGCATTGTTTTTCAAGTTTTAACACTAATCTAGACGAAATCTGAGGCGTTGATTTCCAAATAGTTATTGTTGATTGAATTCGAGGTTGGTTAGGGCAGGTCCAGCATATGCTGTTTGTGATCCTCCTCACAGATCGTCTTCTCCAGGACATTCACATATGCCACACTTACGGGCCTCCGCTTCCTCTGGAGCCCTTGGAGGCGACGAGCCAAGTTTAAGTCTCGGAGGTGGCGGAAATGGCGCAGGCCTTTACGGGGGTGGTTCGGGGGGTGGAGGCGGAGGTGACTCCTCTGGTAAAGGTGAAAGTGAAGGAAAATCCCCTGGCGGAATATTTGGTGTATTCTGGAAAGGCTGGAATGACAGGGTTCGTGCGGACCCCCAATTTGCTTTCAAGGTGTTGATGGAAGAAGTTGTTGGTGTGGGAGCATGCGTTCTTGGCGACATGGCTTCTAGGCCCAACTTTGGTCTGAATGAGCTTGATTTCGTCTTCTGCACACTCGTGGTGGGTTGCATAGTAAACTTCAGTTTGATGTACATGCTAGCCCCAACAAGCGCTGCTGGAGCCGTGGTAACTCGTCTTCCAGGAATTTTCGCCGGCTGTCCAGCTGGACATATGTTCGAGCCTGGAAATTATTCCTTAGTCAATCGTGCAGGTACTTTTATATACAAATGTGCACAATTTGCAGTGGTTGGGTTCTTTGCAGGACTCGTTGGTACAGCCATCTCGAATACTTTACTAATGGTCAGGAAGAAGATGGATCCAGAATTTGTTGTGCAAAATGAACCTCCGCCGACACTTTTAAACGCTATCACTTGGGGTCTTCACATGGGTTTGAGCAGCAACTCTCGCTACCAGTCCTTGAACGGTCTGGAATTTGCTCTTGCAAATAAGCTACCCCCACCAGTCTTCAAAACCGGTGTGTTTACGCTTCGTGCTCTAAACAATGTACTCGGTGGTTTCTCTTTTGTGGCTCTTGCCCGCATCACTGGCTCCCAGAAATCTAGTGCTCCTCCTGCTCCCTCAGAGACTGCCACAGAGGAGAAGCTCTTGGAAGCCGTCGATGAAGACGAAGATGAAACTTTTCGAAGTCGTCCATAAATAGATATGGAGTGAATTGTAGATGGTGAATTCCATCTATGTTCTTAGTGGAGATTTGGTGCGAGGTCAGCAGGATTATTAATTAGCCCAATATTGCTCAGTCATTGAAGCTCATCTGATGCTTATGATAAAGAGTTGTTCCCTAACCTGACTGTTTGCTTTGCTTTGCTTTAGTTTGTTTTTTTCTTTCTCTTTTACGATACTCCACCGCCAGGTTTTTGTCTTCGCTACTCTCTTTTTTTAAATTTACTCTAGTGACATTAGAAGAAGGTTTTAGGCCTCTATCGGTTGACATCAAAGAGCTTATTTTCAGGTAGCGGTATGGTGCAATTGTATTCCCTAAAGTCTCACGTTTCTCTAGGGGTTACCAATCCATCGTGTTGTGGTAAATTTTTAGATAATAACTTCAATTCTGTGCCAACTGAGAAAGTCTGATTTTTTCTGTCAGGTATCTACGCATTGAAGAATTTGTTCTTAGACTACGTCTCCAACTTCTGTACAAGATAATCATAACCTTGGCAGAATGCTTGTTTGTTTGTCAATTCCAAAAATTCAAACTGTGTAGCTTCATCAGTACCCAGATAATCTTGTTCAGTATTTTTCTAATGTTCTGATGTATCTCTACACGTGATGACGTTCGAATGTGAACCTTGTTAAGTTGATCAATTTCCAACACGTTTTTTTTTTAAGGTTTCCATTTCGCAAAGGTGGGTACACTCATGCAAGGTGTGAATTGTTGCAAATGCTCTTGTATCAAACCAATGTCCGGAAATCTCGAGATCGCTTCAAGTCAATTCACTAAGTGTGCGAACTAGACGTTTGCATTTCTGCCACTACAAGTCCCATGACAGTGCATCTGAATTCCCAAAAATAAGTCATTACTCTGTTATTCCAGTGTGAGGGAAGTCAAAGACCGCAGATGTAGAGCTTGAAGCCATATCGCTATAGAATAGCGAGGATTTGAGTTTTAATTGTGACGAGCTGTAAAACCTTCCATTCTCCAGTAATCTTCACAGCTCAAGGCAATTAGATAAGGGGGACTACTAAATTACTTGGTGAGAAGAGAACTGTCATTGCCTTCACAGCAAGTCCCTTTTTTTGGACTGATTTACTCATCCAAATAGAGAGAAATGTAACAAAATTTTATTCAAGTAGATAGTCAAGGTGGACTACCTCCATTAGCTTGCCCTAGCTTAGCCTTCTTCCATTTCAAGGGAATGTATTTTTGTTAATAGTCCTATTTTTGTGCAAATCAAGAAAATTATTGATTTAGATTAAAGTGGTACAAATTGGATTAGTAAGAATGAAAGAAGGTTTTATCAATTTTTATATTTTAATATATATAGATATATATTGCCATTGTAACTATTTTTTAGAAGACCTTATTCAATGACAATAGGATTGCCATTCTACTATTGTGGCTATTTTTGTAGAGGTTTTTATATTATTATCATTGTAACAAAAGTTTAAGTGTCAAGGACATGAATCATAATAAAACTCTAAAGAAGCAATATAATCTTGTGACATTCAAAAAGAAAAAATAGATAAATCAAAGATAGATATAAAATAGAAATTGGAATGGCTATTGCTAAATACAAAGAAATTAGAAATTCTTAGATTAAGGCAAGAATACAAGAAAGGCATTGATAAGAATGACGAAGAGAAATTAGAGATTCTTGGATTAAGGCAAGAATACAAGAAAGGCATTGATAAGAACGAAGAAGAGATATCTTACTCTTGCCTATATATATACTATCTAATTAAGAAACTATGTGGCAATATTCTATAGGTCATTTGAGACATGTCCAACTCTATGTGTCTAACTTACAAAACAAGTTTTCTACATATGCATTCCATGACCAACTTGTATCATAAGTGGTCAAATTGTAAAAGAAGTGGTCAACATGTACAATATATGCCCAACTTGTTGGCCAAGTTTTTAATCTACTAATTACCTATAAATAATTATTGTAAGAGGATATAGATAAGATAATTGTATAGATAGTTAGAACCATGGAAGTTTCTAGAATTGAGGTTAAGTTAGTGGACTAGGTAGGATCCACCATGGAACATTTTAGAAAGAATTTAGGCCAGTTATCTAGGGAGGGTATACCATGGAACCTTTTAAAAAAGAAATTTAAGGTGGTTATATAAGTGGGAAGTACTACCTAGGAACATTCTAGAAAGTCCAAGGTGATAGGATAAGGTATAAATAGGATCAACTTAGGCCTTTTGAGGCATTTGGTCAAATATGGCTTTGGACCCTTTCTCTTAGTAAAATTTAGTTTTACATCTTTTTGTTCTGTTTTTTTCCTCAACTTTATCTTTCATGTCCTATTCTATTTATTTTAGTTCAATTTTTTTTTAATCTATTTTGTCTTATTTTGTGATAATATTTTATGTTTTTGTGGATTACAAGGATCTTGGATTTTTGAGATAGTCTGTTCTTGTTTCATTGGTATCAAAGCAATTATTAGAATGCTTACTTTTGGTAGCATGTCGATAGTTATCATCTAGTCCAAGGTCAGTTGTTGTAGTCATAGTAGGTATTGTATTGAAGCTACTATGAGTTACTCTTAAAAATCAATCAAGAGGTGAAAAGTCATTACAATAGTGGAGTCCAGTAGAGAAATTACAATATGGGAGATATGATAGAACAATCCAAGATGGAGGCTCAAATACAATACCTCTTAGGTTACATAACTACTTTGCAAGGGCAAATAAAAGCCTCAAAGATAAGAGACTCAACATTTGGTAGGTTAAAATTGAGTAAGCTTAGTACATACTCTAGAACTTCAAGACAAGAAGATGTATGTCAATGGCTCTTCAACATGCAACAATATTTCCAACTATTTGGAGCAAATACCATTGAAGGTATTATATATGCAGCCAATTATTAGACAGATGTGATAGCTATTTGATGGCAACATCGAATTCAAAGCTATTGAGCTCAAGGTGGATTTTATGACTAGGAGGAGTTTGAGACTGAATTTGAAATCAATTTTGGCCCATCAATGTGGAGAAGATAACATGCGATCAGTTGGCAAAACTTACACAAATTAAGTTGATGTAAGATTATGTCTCCCCATTCAAGTCCCTATATATCCAAATTAGTAATGTTTTGGAGGTAGAGATGATGGATCAAATCCTGCAAGGTTTGAAACTTGGAGTCCAGCAAGAGGTGGAACTAAGGGATCTACAAACATTTGAAGAGGCAATTTGGATTGCAGAGAAGGTTGATGCTATAGATTTCAAAAATTGTGGAGCATGATCTATAGTACGAAGTTGTATATCCTATCTAATACTATGGCATAATAACCAATGCCAATAGAAATTAATGCCTTATAAGAATCATTGATACCACAAAGATGAAAAATATTGATATTAAAAGAATTATATTTCTTTTGTTAGGAGCTAGGCCATCAAATCAGAGATTGTCTAAAACGTCCAAAATTCAAGCACCAGCAAGACAAGGTAGGTTTTCAATCTCAAAACTCACCAAGTCAATAATGAGTTAGAGCAAAAAAATGGGGTTCTCCAATAAAGGCACCAAAAGCTAGTATTGGAAGTAGCTACTGTTTATTAGAGACAAATGGCATGACCTTAAACGACTATAAAAAGAATTAACTGGTGCATCTAACAGTACTACTAAGAGGACGACCATATTGAGTGCTTATAAATTTTGGCTCTACAAAAAATTGCATGTCAACTGAAATTGTTGATTGGTTTAGAATTAAAACTAAAGAAATCAAGGAAGAAAGTATATACCTTGCAAATGATCGAGAGAACGTATTGAGTGAGATATGTGAAGAAGAAATCTTGAGATTGATAAATACTTATGTCTTAAGAAAGAGATTCAAAGTGACAAAGCTAAGGTATAATATTATCTTTGATATGCCATGGCTAGAAATAGAAAATAAGTAAGTTGATTGGATAGCAAGGTCAATCTCTTTTAAAGATGGAAGATGCAAACTGACTCTTTACACCTTCGCATTAAGTAAAGAGGAAAGACAATCTGCAACCAAAGACTTACTTGTAGGAATGATTTTTTTGAAGAAGAAAATATAGCATGAGTAACCAAAATATATGGTGGTTCTAAATCTTGCATTAGTGGTAGGAAAGACAACCAAAGGGGTAGAATGGACAAAGCAACTCTTACAGGAATATCAAGATGTCTTTCCAGCCTACCTACCTAATGGTGTACCTCCTGATCAAGGTGCCTCCTTTCAAATAGAACTATTGCCTAGAGCCAAACCAACAAGTCAAGTAATTTATCACCTACTACCAAAAGAACTTAAAGAGTTGCAGAAGATATTGGACAAACTCTTGGAAAAAAATATCATTTGAGAAAGCACATCACCATAAGGAGCACTTGTATTCTTTGCACCCAAGAAAGATGGCGGACTTTGCCTTTGCATCAACTATTAAGGCTTCAATAAGTAGACTGTTAAAAATGCATATCTACTTTCATGTGTGGATGATCTTCTTGACTAACTTCGAGATGGGATCATCTTTAGTAAATTAGATTTTTGGAGTAGCTATTGGCAAATACCTATTGCAAGAAAGGATGTGGAAAAGATGGCATTTTGTACATGCTATGGACATTTCAAATGGTTAGTTTTATCCTTTAGCCTCACCAATGTTCTTCCTTCTTTCATAGATGAGATGAACAGATTGTTTCAAGACCTTTTGGATAAGTATGTAGTCGCCTTTATTGATGATATCCTCATATATAATAAAACCTCCGAAGAGCATGAACAACACCTATAAGAAGTACTAAGCCAACTACAAGATAATTGTTTCTATTGCAAGCAATCAAAATATAAACTTTGAAGTTGGAAGTCACTTTTTTGGAATATGTTGTGTCTTTCAAAGGCATACGTATGGAATAAGATAAGATGAAAGCAATGGAAGATTGACCAACCTTCAAAGATGCTTCCAAAGTTTGCTCATTTTTAGGCCTTGCTAGATATTATTATCATTTTGTTTTGCGATTTATTTACATTGCTACCTCATTAATAAATCTATTGGAAAACGATGCTCCATTTGAATGGAAACTGGAGCAATAAAATGCCTTTGATAAGTTAAAGGAGGCACTCATTACTACTCCAATATTGCAACCGTATGATCCTAAACTTCTTTGTACGCTTGATATTGATGCTTTTGACTTTGCTATTGGAGCGGTTCTTTAACAAGACTTTGGTAGGGGCCTTCAACTTATGGCGTATGAATTACGCAAGCTTAGAAGGGCAGAGCATAATTACTCTATACGTGATCAAGAGCAATTAGCAATTGTACATGCCACAAAGATGTCGCAATACTATCTATTGGAGAAGCTAGTGGTTGTTCGGACTGACCATCGATCCTTGTTACATGATTTGCATATGAAAAATATGAAATTATGGCATCATCGTTGGAAAGAATAGTTGTAGTTTTTTTATATCTAACTTGAGTATAAGCAAAGGCGACAACATACTTAACTAGATAACTTATTGTGGAGATCAGACTTGAAGGATGAATCATAAGACAAGACAACAAATATTACTATTAATAGTATTATTTCAAATCTAATCAAA